TTTAAAATGGTTCCGGTGCCTAAACGGTGCCTGAACCGGTACTTATTAATAAATAAATAAATAAAAATTCCCCAAAATATGATAGATTGGCCATTAGCACTATAAACACATGATGTCTGTTTCATTCATACTGCGCCCTCGCACAGAAAATCCACATATCCAGTCACAGAAGTAGCAAACGTATGACCCTCCAGGAAATCCCTTATATGGACAAAGGCATCACTATTATAGCTGTAACTTAGTAAACAGAACATATAAACGTTTTGAATGATAAAACAAAGACAATAAACACTCGACTGCAACACTATAGTTTATCTGTGTTATTCAAGCCATCTCTGGTATTTTCATAATAATTAAATATATTTATAATCCATTGCTAATCGATGTATTTTTAAAGTAGCCTATGGAACATATTTTCTGCCTCATTCTGTGACAAGAAGCCACATCAGATCACAAAAGGAAGCATTTGACTGGTGTTGTGGAGTAAAAAGGTTATAATGTTCTCTTTTGTTGGACAACAGGTTTAGAAATGTGAATACAAGGAAAGTTTAGCTTTAGGCATTTTAATTTAAGCATGTTTAGCTGAGTTAACGGAAGGCTACCTGCTGCCATCAGAGCAAGTGTAATTACTGCATTCACACGCTCCTCGGATGCTCTCATTTTCCGAGTTGTGCTTTTAAGTCAGAATGTGAAAACAACATGGGTACTCTCGTTACTACAAAGATTTGTTGGATTAGAGCTTTCCGACTTGAGTTCACGTGAAGTCGGGAAATTATTTTTCACGTGCGGTGCCGATGATGATGCTTCTTACGTCCGGAGAACGATGCTTCTTACGTTTAGGAGAACCAGAGGACAAATATTTCAATCGATCGCTCAGGCAAGGCACCGAAATGGGGCACTGAAATCTGCGTTCTGATTCAGTTCTAGTACATGCCGGTTACATAGGTACTGGTGCCATATTGGTACTGGGTTTCGGTACCCAACCCTAGAGTTTATATCTCGCAATTCAGACTTTATAACTCGCAATTCTGAGAAATAAAGTCAGAATTGCGAGATATAAAGCAATTCTGAGTTTTTTTCTTGTAATTCTGACTTTCTTTTTTTCTCACAATTGCGAGTTATAAATTCAGAATTACGAGATATAAACTCGCAATTGTGAGAAAAAAAGAAAATCAGAATTGCAAGAAAAAAAATCTGAATTGCTTCATATCTCGCAATTCTGACTTTCTAACTCGCAATTTTGACTTTAATTTTAAAATTTTAACTCGAAATTGAGTTTATATCATGCAATTCTGACTTTTTAACTTGCAGTTGTGTGTTATAAAGTCAGAATTGCGAGATATGAACTTGCAATTTTGAGAAAAAAAGTCAGAATTGCGAGTTTATATCACAATTCTGAGAAAAAAAGTCAGACTTGTGAGATAAAAAGTCGCAATTACCTTGTTTTATTTTTTATTTAGTGGCGGAAACGGGCTTCCATTTAACAAGCTTCCATTTGACTGCCGGTAACAGTCAAGATAAAAAAAATAAATAAAATAAAATAGGCCTAACACTGCACTTTTTCAACATAGATTGTGTTGCTGGAGAGAGAAATGAGAAATGTTTATTATAAATATTCTAATTACTTTAATACTGAAAAGGTAGAACAACACCAACATTTTACATATTTATTTAGTAAAATAAAAATATTTTCTAGTTCATTATCTGTATGATCCACAAAGCTCTGGACTTTGTAGAGTTTTCAGGGTTCAAACCGTTTTCAAGGTTTGGAATGTGCTTGGATTTTGATCGGTTGCATTTCAAATCAGAAGTTCCATTTCACTTGGGATACTGCCATCAATGAAAACTGCCTAATGTAGGTAGTAGGCTAATGTAGCTTAGTAGGTTTTGGAAAAGAGCTAATATGTCTTTTTTGATCTTTCAAATGTAGGCTTACTCCCTGATTGTGGTTTGTAATTTCGTTGTAAGCTGAAATAAGTTTGGCTGAATGAAGACGTTAAGTGTGCAAGTGCATGCATATGCGTGTGAGAGAGTTTGACAGTCCCTATGACTGGCCTTTGACCTACTTTCTTTTCATTCCTTGTCTGTAATTGTGTCAGCATGACACTCATATCCCAGTGCGAGACGACGTTTCCACCTCGTATGTTGTCTCTTGCGCTGCGATTATCTTCTCAATCTCCTGTCGTTGGGTTTATGGGCTTTTTTTACGCTGAAGGATTGTGGTGTACGTGGCCACGATATTCCTTCTCTCCTCTGTTCTCCTCTTTCTGGCTCTCCTCCTGGCTTCTAACTAGTCACTTTTTGTTGTTGGTTTTTCTTCCAACTTGGCAGCTGTGTGCTGAAGGAATGCTCTCTCTCACTTGCTCTCCTTCTCATTGTTTTATAGCTCTCCTCAGCGACAGGCTGGCCCCTTCACAAACGTGGGATAATTAAATGTTTCATTCTTTTTTAAACACTGCTGCTATGCTCCACTTCTTCTCCTCAGGTCTAAGATTAATAAACAGCCGTGTTGTTTTTTGAACGAGGGCCCACCAAGGCACACTTACCATTATAACTCATTGAACTCTGAGGGATATAAACTGCAAATATATGAAAAGCACATAAGTTTTATATAAACTTTGACACTAAGACTTGGAATGACGTTCAGGTAATGACATGAGCTCCTAAACACGCATGCACAGTCATTCACTCACATTGTTTTGCAAAGCATTACGGTAATGGGATGAACATAGGATTAGTGATAGGACTCATATTTTGTGTATTAATCTGTGAAATAGTATGCCATAGGGCTGTCAAAAAAAATTAGAATTTCGAATATTCGTCGAATTAAAAATAAAAATCCTCATTTGAATGCAAAAACGTTGCATTTGAATTTTAGGTGTGCGTCAGGCAGTATTATCAGTGGCGCACGAAATGCGACGACGATGTAAGTGTCATTGCATTTTAATGCTTTTGATATGTTTAAGCAACTTTATTATTGTATAAGGTTTATAAACATTATTTTAAACATTATGCACTTTTTTCAAAGATAGTCGTGTTATTTTATTATGCTTTGAAGAAACGTGCATAATATTTTGCTCGATGCACCCTCTTGTGGCCTCAGGAGAGAAGCCAAAAGATTTTTTCCCACAACTGAACTTATGCATTTTAAATTCAAATATAATTAGAATATTGATAATATTTAAGTAAAAAATTTAAATGTAGTTTTTTAGCCATTTTGACAGCCCTAGTATGCCGTATATAGTTTGTAATACTTGATTGTAGGATTCTTCACTTCATAAAATACTATACTGATACACCAACCGCTTTGTTGTGTATTATTTGCATTTTCCACGCAGCATTAGCATCTAGCTAAATTCATTGGTGTAAAATTGTATACTTCGTAGTGTTATTTAAGGTTTCTTGGATTGGATCATTAAGGTAACTTAAAGTTCGTACACTTGAAACTAAGATAGTTTTCAAGAAGAGAACTAAAATTCCTCCTGTTTGATTGTGCATATGTTTGTGGGCGGTATTACGAACATTCAAAAATAGCGATATATTGTAGCAATTATTTTGTTTCTTGTTTTGTTTACTACATTTTTGTCTTTTAAAAAGACTTATTGTGAAAATAATATATACTTTAAAGAATATACTTAATTGCGAACTGAATGTAATATTTTCTTACATGTAATTGCATGTTAATTGCAATAAAATCAAAATGTATTATAGTTTAAATGTATAATAAATGCAATTAGATGAACTAATTGGTGTAGTTAGTAATTAGTGGTTAAAAAAAAAACAGTTTATTTTGTATTGTAAAAAAAGTATTATGCAATGATATGTTTGTAATTTTCATAAACAATAAAATATACTAAAACTAAAATATACCTAAATATAATTTCTAAAAAACCGTGTGTATTTAAATTTAGGCCCTATTTGTAATTACAAACTTGCAATGATACGGTTGCAATTTATTACATTTAAAAATATTAACTAAATATAATATTGAATAACAAACTACAGTTCAAATTATAATCAAGTACTTTACAAGTGCTTCAGTACGTTAGTCAACACATCAAAAATAAGTCGAGTTCATTTTGTCGAGTTCAACACGACAAAAATTCATAATGGTTTAAAACGCACTTTAACATAAAACTTTTAATTTGGCATTATTACAAAGTACACTTTTTAAAAGTGTACTTAAGTTTGTTCAAAGCATTAAAGTGCACTGTAAGTACACTTAATTGGCCTTTTATTTCATTAATATATTATTCGTATAGTAGAAAAGTATAGTTTTTTTTTAAACATAGTTTTAGGATTTGAAATATGCTACAAGTGTGCATTCAATACAATAAAAAAACTTATTTTCCCAAAGGGAGCTCAGGATAGTTGCTAGTGAAGTGTTTGCAATGCCATCAGCATTGTCATGCTATTTTTGTTCAGCTCTTAAGTAATTAGTCACATAACATGTTTCGGGAACAAAGTTCCAATGAGCGAAGATGGCAGCATTCAGTTTATGTATTTCTGAGGCCACATGCACCAGCCTAGCAACTGCCATTGAACTTTTTATCACTATATGCTGTAGTATGCAAACTAGGATCTTTGAGTTGTTATACTAAAAGTGAAATCCTGGAATAGTCTCAGCAATTATTTGGAATTGCAATTGACAGCTTTGTTTTGCATCTTGATGTCTTAAATCATATGATGTGACAAATATTTGAGCATGTACACTTCCAGCAGCCAGTGCACGGTCATTTGAACGAGGGTTGCAGAGCTGTTGTAATTTGCTGTAGTGTGCGTAGCCGGTTTCTGAAAGCTTTGACACCTCCACGTGGTCTCCTTCCCTCTCCCGGGGCTCCCTTCCCCCCGTCTCAGCGCACATTAAAACAACATACACTGTGTGTGTGGCTCCATCGGAACGGCAGAGGTTAAAGACGTGCGAGCTTTAGCCACTCCCTTAGCCAACCAAGGGAGTGGTTGGCTTTTTTTATCCCTTTATCTCCTCCTCCTCTATTTTCCCTTGTTCTCTCTCACCCTCGTGCTCACTCGCTCGCTCTGGCTTTTGTGTGAGTGGGCGTATGTGTGTGCAGCACTGTCCGGGAAAAAAATAATGTGTGTGTGAGACAGAGAAAGACAGACACACGGGCAAAGAAAGACCGCAAGGAGTCAGACAGACGAGAAAGGAGGACACGAGGAGAAGCGTAGAAGCAGACGCGCAGCAGTGAAGATTGCAGACGTGAACACAAGTGGAGAATGGAAGACAACACGACAGGTTTAGCTCCAGTGTGCAACTCTACAGCCACGCTGAACCACCACTGCACCGGTAATGCAGCGCTGCTGGATTGTGGGGAGGGCTGTGTGTGTGACTGAATTTATGAAGAGGGTTTACTGAGATGCATGCGTGTCTGCGTGTGTGTGTGCGTGCGCAATGTATTAACACAAGTCTTCCTTTTTGTCATGTGGAGGTTCCCCTCTGCACGCCACACAGAGAGGAAGTGTGTGTAACGCTCTAACCTCACTACATTGATCCACCTCAGTGTGTGTGTGTGTGTGTGTGTGTTTAGTGAGTAAAGCAGTTTATTTGAATGCTTGTCTTGAATGCAGGTCATTACACCGATAGAGAGTTGTGTGTGGTTAGTTGTACTTCAAATAAACCATTTAATACTTATAGTAGTGGCATAGTGTTTCTGCAGAATTGCTCATTTGCTGTATAATTTCGAACTGATTCAACATGTGGTTTTCTGAGAATAGATCAGATATCGCCCTCCAAAATCCATTTTGCTTTGAATGTTCAACATCCATTGAAAATTTTCTGTCAAGATCCTTCAAGCTACATCCAGCAGACTCGGCACAGACCTGCAATTTGTTCTGATGTAGTGTGCCGTATCTCTCCTAACCAACTGAATATGTGGGTTTCCCACAGCAGATGATCCAACTTTGCAAAAACCATAGTCTTACATTGAACATTTCTCACTGTGTTCAAACTAAATACAACAAACTTGGCACAACCCTTCATACTTTTACACTTTATCTTTTCAAACCATTAAACTTGCACATTTACTTACAATGTAGCAGATCCTTGGACTTTTGTTGAGAGAATAGGTGCACTGTGAAGGATTTCTCATTTAAGATTTTTGTTAGAAATCAAATATTGAGAAAGTGTTAAACTTTGTTCTAAGTGTAAAATAATGATTCATATTCAGAGTTCAGAGAATTAGATCTAGTTACTATGTTGGTATATATTCTATATACTTGCTTAAACTACGTATATGTTTGGTTATATGTCTTATAGGACTTTCTTCTTAATTAAACTCTTGATGAAACTAGTCAGATTCGTGAGATATAATAATCTTCATCCATGCGGAAGAACAGCTGAACAACAAAGACTGTAAAAATGTTTCTGTGCAAGTTGTTTGTTTCAACATTAGTAAATATCTCTCTTTCTGTCTTTCTCTCAATCTGTCTATATAGTGTATATAACCTTCAGTCCTCAAGGCATTTGAAACATTTTGACCTTCCAGATAAGGCTTTCTCAAGTCAACATTCAAGGATTATCTTGACAAACGGTCTTTTTCTAAGTTGCTGTTTTCGTCTAGTGTGCGTGTGTGTAGATGCTTGTATCTGTGTCTTGTGGCTTTTTATTGGGATGCCACGTCTGTATAGAGTCTGTTTGTGGTGTCTCATTCATGGTGAATTGGCTTGGGGGAAGTATAAGCACATCTCTTTGTAAAAGTGTGTGTGTGTGTGTGTGTGTGTGTGTGTGTGTGTGTGTGTGTGTGTGTGTGTGTGTGTGTGTGTGTGTGTGTGTGTGGAGGGTTAGGGTTAGACTATTACTACTGAGGATGTGAAACAGAAATACTCAGGGTCAGTGGCTGAATGTGGGCAGAATACTGCCTCTGGTCAGGGTGTTTCTTCCTTTCATTGTAATAAACATTGGTTAAAGAAACAATAAAAATGTGAACGATTAACGTGTGTGTGTGTGTGTGTGTGAGAGAGAGTGTAAGAGTGAGTATGTTTGTTTGCACACACCATTTGTGTATCTACCTGCAGTATATGTGTTCAGCTGGTGTTCGGAGTGTGTTTTTCTCCTTTGTACACAAGCTTTTCTGTTTACTTCCTCTGTCTCACTTTTGCTTCTTTGATTTTTTTTTTTTAATGAAATGAAAGTCGAAGTTTGTCTTTTTTAAAAATGGTAAAACATTTTCTCCCATCCGGGTTTGTGTGCAGAGACAACTGTAAGTAAACCATTACAGGTTTATTTCCTCTAAGTGTAAACACTGTGTCTGTGGCCCCTTAAAACATTGCTTTGTTTGTTTAAGCATCCAGACCAGCCCAGCATGGCAACAAAGGCTCGACCAATGGCATGAGTTTTGGGTTTGTCTGACCAATATAGCAGATGATGGAAACCTGTTTGAAAACATTAGTTTTGCAATTCCGTTAGTGCTGGAGAAAAGTCTGTTTTTTTAAGGCAATGAAAAAAGGGAAAATTAAATGATGTTGCGTGACAGTTGCGTAACAAAGATATTACAAAAGTTCATATCTCTCTAATATCTATTTGATCTTTTCACGTCTTTCATAAGCATGCTTGAGGACCATCTATATATACTTTTATGTAGGGCTGCACGATATATCGTTTCAGCATCGATATCGCGATGTCTGTGCACCGGACGTGACAGCTGTACCGAGATACCAATTTTAAATGCATTTAGTAGCAGAGCTACTGCACGCGATTTTCAGTGCTGGAAATCCATTTATCCTTTGTTGAAACTTCTGCGTCGTCGAGGAGCGCGCAGGTCACGGTTGCTTAGCAACAGCAGACGCCACGAAAGCGCAAGCTCCCGAGCACTTTGGAAAGAAGGAGAAAGCGGCGCGGCTGGCTTTTTCCCACGCGTTTTAGGCGCGACATGTGAACGGCCCCAAAGTCTGTTTACACTGGATGCGACAATCATTTGAACTGTGTGTGAGTGCGTCATAAATAGAACACGGCATCAGTTTACTGTCGGGTATTTGTCGCGCCGCATCCAGTGTAGACAGTATCACTGATTATAATGGGTTCATTGTATTTTATCGCTTTGCGCTGCGCCACTTGCGTCTGGTGTAGACATGGTGAGAGCCGCGCAAATGCACGTGAACACTGAATTCTGTTCACTTCTGCGTCTATTTGTGCCTGAAATACTGTGCTCTGCAAGTATCTTTGTAAACACAGATCACATATGTTTATGGCTTAGGTGAAGGGAAACAATTGAGAAAGAAAATGGATGTGTGTGGCAGTATATTGGTTTACAGCAGTTTAGTGTTCCTGAGGCTTTCTGTGTCATGAATGTTAACAAACAACAAAACTAAGAAAAATAATTTTTGTAGCTTTAACACAGATTTATTAGATTTAATGTATACAGGTGCATCTCAATAAATTAGAATGTCGTGGAAAAGTTCATTTCGTAATTTTATTTCCTATGCTGATTTACTCGCCAACAAAAACACCCCAATCATTGATTATTTTTTTCCCAAATAAACTATTCAAGTCATGTGGTGATTTTTTTTGTTCATATCGCAATATATATCGCAGAAAAATAAAATATCGCAATGTGAATTTTTTCCAATATCGTGCAGCCCTACTTTTATGGTTTTATATTCAGCTCATATGGCTGTGCAATATTGAAATTTTTGAAATATCGCAAATGTACAAATCATCATATGCATATTGTGATGACTTACAATAACCGGATGATTACTGATTGCTTATTTTAATACTTCAAAAAGTTATGAAAAGTCAAAGTTTTAAATAGCAATACAATTATTAAAATAGAAGTCAAAGTTTTAAATTCAACAAAAATAGCAGATAATAGACTGGGCATGCAACTGTATAAATATAAATTAAATGGATTACATTGATTATTTCACGATTAAACAAACAAACAAACATTATTTACATTATATTTGTACTATTTTTACAAATGAGGACGTTCCCAAAATGAGGATTCAGCTCACTTCCGAGTACAAATTTGTCCTCAAAATATGGTTCCGTAGCTACACACATATACACACACACACACATGCAGGTTCTATTACAACCCGTCTGCTTGTATTTGGTGCTGGAGTTGATGTATGTTAGGCGAGATTCCAGCTCAGACAATTTTCACAGATGGACAACTGCTGTGTGTGTGTGTTTGTGTAGGATGTGTTAGTGTGTTTAAGTTTATCTAGTGGTCAGAGAGTAGTTTGAAATTGTGCAATTGATATCTAAACCTTGTGAGCATGTGAATAGGAACTACTCGCTGTTCTGTTTATATTTCCCTTGACGTCTGCACAGATATAAATGACTTTAAAATATACATATACCATGAGGATATCACCAAAAAGTTACCATGGTATTACCATTAGGTTTTTGGCCACAGTCCGTGTTTTTGGACATCCATTCCTTAGATGTTAATTGTGTAGCTTTCTTTGAAGGACTTTGGATTACCATGGTATTATGAATATGGTATTACCATCTGATACCATCATTGTGACGTGATTCTGCCTAATTATTTGCTGATACAGTGCTGATAGCGATATCTAGAGATCAGGGTGTCTAAAGGCGATATGATATGAGTGATATGAGTATTAAACAGGGTAACACTTTATTTTAAGGTGTCCTTGTTACACGTTACATGTACTTACTATTATAATAACAATTAGTTATGCTGAATTACATGCAAGTAACCCTAAGCCAAACCCTAATCCTAACCCTAACTAGGGTTGCAAAATTCCGGGAATTTTCAAGACTGGAAACTTTCCATGAGAATTAACGGGAATATATGGGAATTAACGGGAATTAATGGGAATAAACTGGAAATTTGTAAAATTGCAAGAACTGGGGACTTAAATGTAGTTGAGAAAAAATCTTGCAGCATAATCTTGGTTAAAACAACCTGATTTAATGCAATTTCAGTTTAATTTCTACCCTACACAGTGCTCAATTAAATGCACACAGCACACTGCGTACTGCAGGGCTATTGAGGCCACACCCCCTATATGCACCGTGCTTTCCTACATAACATGAACAGATCATTTCTTAAATCCTGCACACACAATATCAAAATGTCCATGTTGGTAAGTATTCATGTAAATTACATGAATATTACAAAAAAAAAGTTTAAAACTTCCTTGTGCTGTGTGTAATATACTGTGCAACAAAATTAGGCTATACCATTGTAAAAACAAATACACTGACTAAACAAACCATAGACTAGAACAAACATTTAGGTGAGATAATAATAAAACAGAAGTCTAAAAATGACCCTCCCCCACACACAATCCCCTC